TCTTTCCGAAGTTCCTCGTAATTCTCTTTATTTGACTGAATTAGGCTCAAAAAAAAAGACCGTACACGAGCAATCGATCGTCGTGGATTTGACTAACGATGATGTTAAAATAATGCGGGAAAAAAGCGCAACGAGTGCAGGTAGTTCAGGTATGAAATAGATCTATATAAATAAATATTAATAAATAATAATAATAATAATAATAATAATAATATGATTAAAACATCGTTTATAATATTTTGATATAATTTTGAAACGTTTATTGTGTTAATTAAATGCTATTTTCTAACTGGGAATAAAATTGAAGCGAAATGGCTCATCGATTTTGATCGATATTCATTGATATCGCTATAAGAAATAGTATTATAAACAATTGTATCTGTTACAGAAGTTTGCACTATGATAGCTGACAGTTCGAGCAGATTTAATCGCGATAATAAGAAGAAAAACGGTATAGCTAGGGCGTTACGCGATCGAGGACCATGCCTGATCCCGGTTCAACCGAATCATTGCCTTCCTATACATCCAGCACCACCTGTTCCAACTCGAGCTGTACCGATACCAACATCTCGAAAATCTCAAAGTTCACTCGCGATCGATGTGGAATCATCCGCGAAATCGAGGATTTTCGAAATAAACCCGGATTCGGAGGAAGAGCAGAGCGTTTCTTTTATCTATGAACGAAATCGAGAAAGAAAAACGTCCTCGAAAGAGGCAAACTCTTGTCCTATCAAAATTCTAGATCCTGTTAAACGAAAAATCACAGATGACAAGTTTAAAGAACGAGGAAAGGATGTTACGAAGGATTCGAAGAAAAAAAAGAAATCCTTAGACGTTAAATTAAACGATGGATTCAACGAATTATATACGAATGCTACTACGGGTAACATCGATAAAGAAGAAAATGAAGAAATTTTGAATGATACAAAGTGCGCTACGTCAATCGTAGGATCAACGACAGAGATTCATTTTGGGAAAGATAAGATCGTGCCTCCTCTTCGATTAAAAAAAGTCGTTTGTCAAGAAGGTTCATTGAAAACAAAAATTTAATCATTTCATTATTAAAAATTACAATTATTCCATCGTGTTTAATTAGAGTTGTTGTCCGTAGGAAAAAATGGCGATCGTGGAAATGCAGAAATACCTTCGAGCAGAGACAAGGAGGCAAATTATAGAATAGTCACTGGTGCTACCCCTCGTCCAGACTCTCAATCTATTCCGACTACTTGCGAATATTGGACCAGAGGTTACCATTTTGATAACGATAATAACTTTGATGTTGCGTCGACGAATTCAGTCTCTCGGAACACCGTACGTCGATCTTCCTTCAAGAGCGACGATTACAAATTAAAATATAGACGTAATAGGCTGAGACGAAAGCTCAAGGAATTACAGGACAAGGCATTGGATTTATCTCAGGAGATAGCTAACAAGCCCACCAATATCGTTGATTCTAGTCCGCAACGTAACACAAGGCTCAGACAAATGATGAACTGTTACGAGAAACAAATAGAAAACGTTTCAAAGTTACTTAATAAATTATACAATGTTAATCCCCTATCAAACGAGTTCGTCGATATTGAGGAAAATAAGAAAGAACATCGATGGGACGATGTATTCGTTGGAAACTTTTCTCCAATTTCCTCGCCGGAACCACCAAAACTCTCACCACGTTCCCTGATAGATTATCCAAATAAATCTCCGGATAGTATTAGAAATAGTCCACCTGTATTGCCGAAAGTTTCTATAAATGTTTCATCCAACCTGGATATTCAGGATGAGCATGACGCAGAGGTTATTATTCGTAAATCGTGTATGATTTTGAACATTGTACCAAAAGTTGGATAATAATAGTTCCTTTATTTTGCAGACCGTACAATTACCAAACGAATCGACTTGGATTGCGTGCGATAATAATACAGCAGAAATCTCATCTATGGCGAATAATTTTTGTGAAGAGACGACTAATCAAGAATGGGAGTCTAATAATAATATCGTCGATTTAGGACATCGATCAACAACACCTCCAATTCCTTCCTCAACTTCTATCGATGCGTGTTCTTCGGAAAATGTTGAAAATATTGAAAACGGGCAAATATTTGTTGACAATATTGAAGAAATTGGAGAAAAAGATAATATTAAAATAGTTCACGAGAAAAAAGAGACGATGAAAGAACTCTCCAAGACGATAAAGGTTGGATCGTCGAATCATTCGATTGCCAACGAAAAAACAGAAATAAAGAAACAGGAGGCACGCGATGCTGACAGTGCTATTAAAATAAATCTCATCGAGGGTCCTATAATAAGTTCTGTCTCTGGAGGTTCCGAGATTCCATCGCACGTCAGGTGCGACCAAGTAAACACAACCCAACCAATGATGCTACCAATAACGAAAACGAAAATTTCAACTTCTGCCGACATGATGAACATTTTACAATTAGAATGTAATTATTATGATTCTACGCTTGTGGAGAAAAATGCCTTGGAAACTAATCAAATAGAAGATTCGAAAAAAGCGCAAAAGGTATACAGCTGTAGATAATAATGCTTAAGCATTCCAATTGCGATGGACTATTCTAATTGACATAAAATTTTAGGTAACGTCGAGTACAAAGCAATCCAGGAAGACCGACAATGTTTCCGTACCTCCGACTTTCAACCAAGTAGAATATCCTTTTACGGATCAACATTGCTCTGCTCAAAGTAGTAATGAAAATCGTATAATGACCGAACAATTTCCTACGCTTGGTAATTGGGTAGCCAAAATGTCGAAAAAGCAGGTTTCCAAACAAAAATCTAAATTACAAACTGCAGGAAATAATATTGGTATTATTCCAACGGAAGAATCTACACGCGTAAGTTGAAATACTTTTGGCAAAATGTGCTCAAGTTTAATAAAATAAAAGAATTCTCTTGTTTGTATTTTATTTCATCAGACTTTAGGGTTGGAGGCGCACAAAGTATCGCCAAATAATACTAATATAACCAATTGTAACAATGTGTTAAACCTTACTACTCCACAATGGAATGCGGAAAGATGGCATCGTCAACATCGTCAACATCATCAACAACGTCAGCAACAGCAATTATATCAACACGTGGCTGCTGGCGCAACTCCTCAGTCCCTTCCGTCTACGACGACTCTAAATTCAGGAATTTGCACGCCGCATTCGACGACTCATTTTTATCCGAGTAACTATAACGTAAGAGAGTAACATAAGATAAATAGCAAACATGAATGGTAAAGAATAATAAACGAGGTTCATTTCGTTCTTTTTTATAGATTGATCCATACAGCGGAGCAACGTTTAGTTATCAATCCGCATTGTATCCTGTTTATGGCAGTTACCCGTATCATTCTCGCTTACATCCGGGAACATCTTTGACGAGTTACCACCACTTACCTATGCAGAATCCTCTTAATTCATCCTTACGTCAATTGTCGCACGTCGATAAGCATTTGACCTCATTACAGGATGCAAATCGAAATTTTACTTCTGATATTTTAAAATACTCCGGATCGATTCCCACTGCAGCCGCTACTGCTGCTGAATATCAGCCATCGAATGACTTCGGTTTCGATCGACTCAGAACAACAACTTCTACCGATAATCACAACGCCGAAGCGAGCTGTCTCTCGCCATTATTACTAGCATCTTCGGCTTTATCATCAAGGACGCAACAAACTTTACCACGTATACCTCTTAACGGATATTCAGCTAGCAATAATCAATATGGACGCAATAGAATAATACCGGACGTTGTAGCTGCGGCCGCAGCTGCTGCAGTAGTCGCGGCAGCTTCTATCGGAAGACAGCGTACTTCTTTAACTCCTTATAGCAAATCTGGAAGCACAACCATGAATACCGCTGTTATGGAAGTTGATTCTACCCGATTAACTTCGAATACTACAAATAATCGTACTCGAGAACATCTTTTGTCTCATCAAGGACAATCATCCATGGACATTGGAACAAAAGAACCGCAATGGAACGGCGCCGAATATCGTCCTATACCTAATTTACTTTTAGACAGTTTACCTTTTGTTAGGCCGGAACATGATTTTCCTACGGCATCTATGCTTTCTAGTAATATTCAAAACCCACCTGTATCTATATCGACGGTTCCTCTTCCGCAAATGTCTAAAAAAGTTTCTAGAAGCGTCGAAAGGGACTGCGAAACTCCGCATCTCGGTAAAGTAAACAGAAGTCCTGATACTATGAGTAATCTTAAATGCTCCAATTGTGGCATAGCTGGATCAATGTTTAAATGTCTCGGATGCGAGGTAGCTTTTTATTGCAATGAAAGATGTCAAGCTCGACATTGGAGCTTTCACGTTGAAAAATGTCCCAAAAAAATGCCAAAGTTGAAAAAAGTAACGTAAATTGTATATTCAATATATTTCTCCATAAATTATATTTACCGTGATCCATATGTTTTATAGTTTGCAAACAATATACCAATTCTTTTTATGTCTTTTACATTGAAATTATCTTGCATTATCTTACTTTAGTTCTTGATACGGATATACAAAAAATATTATTGCATAGATGTCGTTTTTGTAAAACAAGATTTTCCAAGTTCTCAAATTACGCTTTAAACTATAAAGTAAAATCTTGTGTTTTCGTTCTTGCATATACATATATATGCGTATACATTAATGTGCACACATGCACATTTACACGTACGGTTGTTATGCATTTTAAATAATTCTCGCGAAGAAAGACAAACAATGTATAAGATTAACATTAATTATCATAGATGTTAAGTAATTAAGTACAAAATAACGATACACTAGTCAATTATTAATGTCGCAAAGTGATTTTTTATATTTTTTCCTCATAAAATTTATATGTATACATAAGCAGTCCCTTTTTTTAGTTTTGATAAAATTGCACTTTTGTGTAATAACTTGTACAAAATTAAAAAGTGAACCCTGATCTTTACGTATCAGGTTTCTTATTTTACTTACTATTAGTAATCCATCAAATATTCATTATTAATATGATAATAACATAAAAGAAAATATATGATAACAAAAAAATTAACGTCCTAATGATTACAGCTTACTGGCAGTTTGGTTCTGTTTCTCTACAATGTTATTCAATAGTTTGTGAGCTTCATTGTAGTAAGGTTTAGTTTCCTGCTGTATTCGTTCCATCCAAGCATTGATACGTGGCCATTCTACACGTGGATCATATCCAGCTAAGCCTACGGTTTAATATATAATATTTATTCTATTATAGCTCCATTATAACTATATTATATAAGAAGAAATTTACAAATGTCGATCATTCATAAACTTACATAGTTGCTCTAATTCGCAAGCTGCAAATATATCACTTATACTAATTTTATCGCCCGTAAGAAATAATTTGTCCTTTAGCCAAATATTCTCTATTAAATCAAGGCAAGCTAGCATTCGCTCTTTATACTTTTCTACTTGTTCAGGTTTAGATGACTTTCCTGTCTGCAAAGGTTTAAGATACTACAAAAAGTAGAAAAAAAAATAAAATTAGAAAATGTTCATTTGAAATTTCTTATAGATTCCAATTAGAGTATATTGATATTATTGTTACCTTAACAAAAAAATATGATGCACAATTTATTCTAGTATTTAAATGTTGCCATTCTAAATACTCATCGACTTTGGCTTGTTCTTTAGACGAAGTAGGATACCAATGTTGGGCTACTTTATATTCTCTGCATAAGTATCTCACAATCGCAATACTACAAGTAAAACCATTCGTCATTATTTATTATCTGATTAATTAAATTGTCCAATCGAACGTACCTTTCTATCAACTTAAATCCATTATGCTCTATAACTGGAACTTTTTTAAATGGATTGAAGGCCTCAAATTCGGGAGTTAAATGTTCAAGTTTCACTAGCTTTATTGGTTTTGCCTCAAAAGGTATACCAGCTACTTTTAGAAAAATATATAGTGCTCTTGATGGTTGAGAAAATAAATCATAATACAACTTAAGTCCAGCCATTCTTCTTTCGGAGATTTTATTAAGAATTTAAGAAAAAATCTATGTTCACTCTATACTTGCAAAAGATTAAATAAACTGAAGGAATTAATTCTTTTAACAAAAAATAATTGCTATTTAATTGATAGAGAGATAGGAAGAGAGGGATTCCGAAAAACTTTCCAGATGGTCATTAGGAAAAATATACGTGCAATCATTCTACGTAATATTTTTTTATCAAAATACAAAAATAACAAAGTCCAATGCGATATTCGACTTAAAGAATTACAAAAGTCGATGATCATAAGTCGCTATTATAAAAAAGCATTACAAAAGTTAAATAAATTAGAGAGCAATATAGAAGACCGTGTAAAAAGAGGGAGACACCGTTGAGAGTGAAAAGATGGCGGACTGCGAAAAAGAGGAGGCTCACAATCTCGTAAGTTGTTCAGCTTGTTTAACTTTTATCTAATCACTTAATCTACTTCGCTGTCTCTCATTTCTGGGAGGTAATGAATCTTATCTATCGCTTATCAATTACACGTATTTTAGCTAATCAATCATGTTTATAAGGTTATGTCGTCCGATTTGACATACATGCAATACATGCTCCATTTTTAGAGAATTTTAATTTTTTTTCATTTTTTTCAATTTGTATTTTAGCAAATGGAGTTTGAGTGGGTCCTACACGAAGAAGTCCATTCTTCGTTATCCCAACTTCGCAGTGTCTTAATGGTTAGTAGTGTATTATAATAGATTGTCATTATCAGTTTACTATTATAAGTTTGTATGGAAAATTGTTAAGATAGTGGCATAGATATAAAGGGTATGAAAAAGTTCAAAGATATATATATCATTTTGTAGGAATGCGCACAGCGATTTCCATTAGCTGTTTTTGGTAATGATCAAACAGACAAAACGGACAGATTTGTATTTGCAGCTCCGCATGATCAAGTAAAGTGCGTTGCTGTACTTACCGGTGATAGTATCACAAATGCAGTAAGTAATATATTTAAAAAGTTACATTAATTTTTATATCGTTGAGTTAACATTAAAATTTAACAATTAAATTGTAGAATATGATAACCAAATATTTTCTCTTAGGAAGTTAATTTCAAAATACAACGTCAACCAAACTTAAACATGAGAACTAGTATAGTAAATGAACATCCATGGAAATTGCAACAAATACAAGATGCTGCAAATCATTTACAACAAGCTATTGCGCATATCGATAACGTTGATCGGCATTATCTTTTCAAAACATCGGATGAAGTTATGCATGTACTAGGTAATATATTAGGTAGTCTTCAAAGAAGTAGAACCAGCTTAATTGTTCCTAGAAAGAAAACCATCGACGATCTCATTAAAAGTCGTAATATGGTAAATAAAAGTTTAGATAAATCTTTCTATCTTCTTATTGATACGCTTAATAAATATAATCCATTTGTAATATATTTTATTTTCAGAGATCTCTAAGTCCTAATCTTCCAGAGAATTTAGCTATTAGTTTTTACATACAAAGCCATAAACTGGTATTAGCTGTCTATCAGTTAGAAAATGCCCATGGTAACGTTAAACATGAAACTCAACAAGCAGAATGTACCGTACCATGGTTAAACGATGCATTGGTACTTCTAACCATAGCGTTGCAACTCTGTCAACGTCTAAAAGATAAGGTCTGATATAACATTATTTTATTCATTTAACAATTAATTTTAATAGTTTTCTTTTGTTTATTTTTCAGATTTGCGTATTTTCCTTGTATAAAGATTTTACAGTGAGCACACATGCTCCTTCAACTACCAGTTGGTAGCCTTACACATGATTTTGGTTTTAAGATGCTGTTTTATAAAAGTGGTGCTATATCAGGATTATTGATTCTAGCTAGTTGCTAGTTCAATAAGTCAATAGTGCTTGTTAAAGTCATCGTACGGACAGAAAATGACATTTTTTTCGTTGTTTCAACCGTTATCGCGCACGGACATTGTTCTTACAGAATTTAGAAGTAATTATTTATAGTGCGTGCCTAGAATAGTATTATAGTAACTTAATATGTCACTGTGAAACATTAGAGGGTGGAGGTGTGAAATCAAATATTGCATTTCCATGTTATTCTGGATACTAATTAAATCTTATCGACTACATACAGCAAAAAGAGGAAACTTAAATATTTTGCCAATTACCCACATAACATAAAAACTTTCTAAACAATTTCTAAAACATTTCTTGGAAAGCTTTAAGTCTTTCAAAACGATTTCTAAAAAAATATTTCTACAAGGTGGAAAAGTCCGCGTTTAGAAATTTGCCAAGGATTTCTAAAAAGGTCTTTGAAAGATTTTTTAAAATCTTATTACCATATTTTGCGAAAGGTTTCTAGAAAACATTTTTGAAATTTTTTCAAAAAAGATAATTGAGAGCTTTCCCAACCAGGGCTCACCGACCAATTCTTCTCATGAATGCCCGAATTGTTTTTTTTTTCGTGGCATTGTAAGACTGTGGAACATATTACGAAACAGACCCTTCCATCCCGGCTGAGTCCTCTGTGTGGGATTCGTGAAAAAAATTTGACCGCTGGACTGACTGGGACCGGCGGGATTCGAACCACGGGTCTTTCGTTTTCCAGGCGCAACTGCTCTTTAACCAATTGAGGTATCCAGGGCTACCGATAAATACTTCTTACGAATGCCTAATAAGTTTGGCATGGAGGCGCTCGTTCCACAGAAGGTTTTTGAAAGATTTTCTGAAACCTTATCGTCATTTTTTGTTAAGGCCGGCGATACAAGTAAAATAAAAAAAATCCGATTTTTTTTTCATAAATAGTTAGCTTAATATCTCAAAAATATGCCCGTAAATTTTTAGAATGAAATTCGCATTATTTATCGAATAAAAATTCATTTAAGTGCTCCGCCTCAACTCGGCGCTAGACGCGAACGCTAAACTTTGAACGCGTTTTTCTCAAAACGACTTTTTTCAAACTGGCGTGATAGATAACTAAAAAAATTCTCCACCGATTCTTATGAAATTTAGCACACTTTTTCTTTATAGTAGTAGCTTCTAGTTGAATTTTAAGAATGCCACAAAAATTTTCAAAAATTGCCATTTTTGACCCAAAAACCATCGGCAGAAAGGGTCAAAAATCGAACTTTTTTGTCTTAGTCGTGCCAATTTACGATTTTTTTACTTTTTTGTTTTTTTCTTAATTCAACTAAAAGATACATGTTTTATGAAAACGCTCTAACCCTTTTTTTTATTCCAAATTGCTGTAACTGAAGTTAAAAATCACGCTGATTGATGCCTTTCGCCGCGAGGGCTTCAGGAGATTGGTTACTACAGCGGCCATTTTGAAAAAAAATTTAAAAAAAAATCGAATTCTTATATTTTAATATGTAATGAATAAACATGCTGAGTTTCAAAACGATTCATTTATTCTTTCCATTTTAAATAAGCCTCTAAAAACCGGTCAAAATTTAGACGTTTACATGTATCGCCGGCCTTAAAGGTTTCTATAAATAATTTTGAAATGTTTTTGACATATTTTTCATAATATTTTTACAAACTTTTTTGAAATATTGTGTGAAATCTTTGCAAAATTATTCTGCAAGGTTTTATAGAAATATTTTTTCATCAAGGTTTCACGAAACATAATATTTTTTTGAAATATTTCGGAAATGTTTTCAGAACATATCGCAAAAGATTTCAAGAAAGTTTTCAAAAATGTTTTGAGAAATATTATTGAAAACATTACAACAAGATTAACAAAACGTTTTGAAAAAATGATTAAAAGAAAACTTTTAAAAATCTTTCTGCAACATTTAATGAAATATTTTTAATAATATTCTTACAAACTTTCTTACAATATTTTATAAAATCTTTTAGCATGATTTCTGCTAGGTTTCATGGAAATAGTTTTAAACATTTTAATTACTCTTTCATTAAAATATTTTTGTTAAATCTTTTATGAATCCTTTTCACAATATTTTAGAATGATGCCTGCAAGATGTCTGAAAGATTTTTTGGGAATACTTTACGAAAATTTTCGCTGAAAGATTTCAAAACTTTTCGTGTTATGTGGGTACGTGTGTGCCTAAACTTCTTGTATGTTGTATCGTAATCATTCTTTCCCTTTCGTAATTTACTTGTGTCCAAACGTTGATGTCTTAATGATCGCATTCAAGTTGATCCAGGTGTTGTCTAATGTTACTTTTAGGACATTTTTTTAAATCAGTATTGTCTTGCAAGTCAGGTGTGTGTAAAAAGAATTTTGACAATTCTCTATAAAAAGAAATATTATATAACAAATAATATATTAATTCTCTCATAAAAATATTGCAAGTACTGACGGTACTGTTCCAAATAAAAATATCAATTATTGTTATTATTATTATTATTATTATTATTAATATGTAGTTTGTGTACATATATACATATAAGATGTATTATAAACGTGTTCTCATAATTAAGCATTATTCACAGTTAACTGTGTATTACTAAACTATTCTTTTATTCGGTTTTTCTTTTTTTTCCTTCGGTAGAAACAAAACTGATAATATCATTGTATACCATTCGTTATTTTACCTAATTTATTGTATTTAGCTTTGAAATTAGCTTTAGATTTGTTTGTAACAATCGAATAATGATATTTAAAATTATTTGTCAAAATTGAAGAGAGAAAAATGATTAGGAAATAAAATGAAATTAAAAGAAAAATATTTCTCATACGTATGAATTGTACCACATAATGAATATTTGGATAAGTTTTTCAAAATGTCTATTCAAAATACAGCACTAGCCATTAAGGTAATAAAATTTTCTCATAGTATTAATTACTATACCCTGATTTGATATTATTTGCAATTATTTTGATATTATATTTCTTATTGATAGATAGGATATATATTAGCATGGACTTTTATTGCCAGTTATTATTTTTTATGGGGAGCAAGTGAAGCGGCAGAAGCAATAAATTACGTGGATGAATCTGGCTGGGTTCCAGATGGAGCTTACGCTTATAATATGGCACGAGAAGTAGTACATGAACAAACATTAGCCGAAGAATGAAATAAATCTAACTTAATATAAAGGTTTTTCAAAATATATATTTATATTTGTGAAATAATATTGATTTAACGAAATAATGAACATTTGTACACTACGTTCTATAATGTTGAGAAACGGTCTTATAGAAATTTAGGATTCTACATTAGATGCATGGTAAAGAAATAAAAAATTGTAAACTTATATTATTTAGTCGTCTTTTTATCTGTTTACATTCTCATATAAATAAGAATTCTCTATTATAAATAATTAACAAAAGTTTATATACATAATAATCAATTTTTGTTCTAAGAAGCTTTCAGTTCAATTTCAGATGAAACAGGTACAGGCTCACCTTGGTTCATTTCTGTGTCATTTTTTAATTGTTCTTGCCACATCGAATGATAAACTCCACTATATGATATTAATTCTTCGTGTCTACCTCTTTCAACTATTTCACCATCTTTTAAAACCAATATTTCATCCGCGTGTATTATCGTAGATAATCTATGTGCTATAATGATAGTTGTACGATTTTTACAAACTCTATATAACGCTGTTTGAATATTACGCTCTGTATGAGTATCTAACGAACTCGTAGCTTCGTCTAAAAGAATTATTTTAGGTGCCTTCAATATTGTTCGTGCTATAGCAACTCGTTGCTTCTCACCCCCGCTAAGACGAAGACCACGTTCGCCGACCTAATAAAATCGATTATGTGTGGTTAATATTAATAATTTTTAATATAATATAATTATTTTTCATGATAATTAAATAACAAACAGACCTGGGTTTCGTAACCGTTTGGAAATGTTAAAATTCTATCGTGAATGTCTGCATTCTTGGCCGATTCTATTATATCCGCTTCTGGAGCATCTATGCGACCATATTGAATATTATATTTAATCGTATTGTTAAATAGAACTGTATCTTGGGGTACGACACCTACAGTTAGAAATGATAAAAAATTTGAGTAATTGTTAATATTATTTCTATTTATATAGAAATATTTCTATAATAATTGAATATTACCTATAGCACTTCTCAACGAGCTTTGTTTGACAGTTTTGACATTTTGACCGTCTATTAATATAGAACCTTCTTCTATATCATAAAAACGGAATAGTAATCGAAATATAGTTGATTTTCCAGCTCCAGAAGGACCAACAAAAGCTATTATTTTTCCTGCGGGTGCAATGAAACTAATATTTCGTAATACCATTCTGTCTGGAGTATAGCTAAACGAGACGTTGGAAAATTCTACTTGTCCTCGTTTAACTTCTAATTTTCCAGCACCGGGAGCATCTATTATTTCTTGTTCTTCTTTAAGAAGATCAAACATATTCTCCATATCGACAAAATTTTTTTGTATAGCTCTGTTAATAAGAACAAATAGAAAATGATAATTTATGATATTATAATCAATAACTTAGCTCATATCGAGAAAAATAAATGAAAATGGTTTACCTGTAATAAGTACCAAACCAATTAAGTGGGACGTAAAGTTGTATTATGTAACTCGCAAACAAAATATAACCACCAATCGTTAATCCCGTACCGGCTACAACCTAGAAGAACCAAGAAGAAAAGAAAAGTAAACTCAAAAATAACATCTAATTTTTGATAAACTCATTTCTCACCATATGAAGACAAAGTAAAGAACCAGCTAATAAACCACAAGAAATAATGATATTTTGCAGAATATTTAAGATGTTTAATGTGATCATAGACTTCCATTCTTCAACTTGGAAATCTAAAATAGCTTTCTTATAACAATCTACTTCATAAGATTCTGCCCCATAATATTTAACTGTTTCAAAGTTTAGTAAACTATCCACACTGCGTGCTTTTTGTGCGTTATCCGCTAAATTCATTCTTCTTTGAAATTTAACACGCCATTCGGTGACCATAATGGTAGCAGCTAATTAGATTCAAATAAATAATAAAATTTCTTTAATGATATTTCAAATCTCATAGATATTAAGTAATATAAGAAATTAGTAAAACATTACCAATGTAAAGACTCATTGTCAAAAAGACGATTAAGCCAAACCATTTGTTAAAGGAACTTATGAAAAATACAATGGCGACAATGATATCAACGATCGTTGGTACTATTGAAAATAAAATATAATTTAAAAGGTTATTTATAGAATCAGTACCACGATCCATGACTCTTAATACTTCTCCAGTTTTTCTACTAAGATGCCAACGTAAACTTAATCCATGCAAATGTCTAAAAATAATACATTATATTAAAAGCTAATCATTTAATATATATTTTTTTGTAAGAAAAATTAAAAAGAAATATATACTTGAATAATTCAAGCTCCACTTCTCGGGTAGTAAATTGTTGAACACGAATCCATAAAAATGATCTCAAGTTATTTAATAATCCCATTCCACCAGTTCCGCCACCTTGTAAAAATTTAAAACCAACGTATATTAAAATCAAATCCCATCTGTAATAGATACAAATATATTAGATTAAAAAGAAATCTTGCATTCTGTATATAAAAAATAATATATCATACCGAAACTCATTAGGTGCAACTTTCAAACTATCTACAATTTTTCCATTATAAATGGGTACATATAAGTTTATTAAGCGTCCCAATATAAGCAAACCAAAGCAAAATATAACTCTCAATTGAAGCAAAATATCTGATTTTGGCCATAGGAATGGAGCTAAAACTTTCATTTTATACCATGCATTTTTCCACGTAGAAGCATTATCCCCGGGTCTCTATAAATATAGAGACAAACTTATTCACAATTGTTAAATATTATTTATCAAAAAAATCATTCTTTCTTAGTATTTTTAAATATAGCGATAATGACTTACATCATGATAATATCTTGACTGCGAAGTTGTAGCATTGTCAAGTGTATGATATTCTGGATCTGTATTAGGAAATATTCCAGGTGCTTTTAGTCCAATAGCAAAGATCATTAAGTTACTAACGTACCGTAAAACAAATAGGCCCATTTCAATTTGATCCGTCAATCTGAAAATAAAATTATATATATATATATAATTTATTATATATAAATATTATTATAATTAATAAATATATATTATAATTATAAATTATAAATTAATATATATATATATAAGCTTATTGAAAGTTTGTTTTTGGAATTATTATACTTACGAATTTAAATGAAACCACCATTCGGATTTTCTAATGTTAACAAAAACAACATTTTCAGCAACAAGTGCCAAAGTCCAAAATCCCAATAAAACAAGACCATGACCACGAGGCGGTACACTTGGTAATAACTTATTTCTTTCTACTCTTAGTATATGAACAGAATATGGATATATAATTACTGTCAATACTGTTGTAAGTATCTATATAAATCCAATGGTATTATTATACGATAATATTATATATGGAAGAAAGTAATGGGATAATTTATAATTTACCATATATCCATAAATTTTCTTATCATCCAAAATAGTTGCTTGTAAAATTATTCTCAATATACTAAGTAATGGAACTAGATAAAGAAAAAATTTTTGTAAATTGTATAGCCTACTTCTTGGTAATACATTTGGATCCATTTCTGTTCCATATTTGCGATACATCCATAGTTGAATTGTTCCAAGTATCATCAGATACAAAAAAATGATGCTTGTGCTTATTGTTTCCATGAAACATTTAGACATACCATGTTCAATCCAAATACCAGTAAAACTGATATTTGGTGGACAATATGTTATTGCGATAGCCATAATAGAAGATTTGATTTTCTTCTTTGAATTTTGATAATAAGATTATTTCAAATATTATTTTCTTACTTTTGTCATTTACATTGTTTTCTACTACCTAGAAAGTATTATCAGACAATTAGGTTAAATTCTTTATCTCCTATGAATTAATCATAAAAACAAAATATTACTATATTATCATAACACACAATCCTCCGAATATTAATTAAAATTATATTATTTTATAACACTATATTATAACTTATTTACTCGATTTAAAGATTAAAAATGATTTTAAATAATAATAGAGTACCAAAAAAATAATAATTATACGGCTCTCTTCTACACATTTAATAAAGTTAATAACTCGATGTCGACCAATTTTTCATTCATTCTAAACAACACGTTGGAAAAATGTCTTTATTCCTTTTGATTGATTTTCTTTCTTTCCTCCTTTCTAATATTTTTATTAAAGTAATGTGTATTAGAATACTTACACGCAAAATTAACAAGCGTGTTTTTTGATAGTCACCATGCGTGACGTCACAAGATGCAGTGCACAATGCAGGGGATCACGCGCCTATCAAAGGATTTAAATACTCACTTACGATTGGTTGTTGTTTCAAGTCTAATAAGATTAGTTCACTTTTTGAAGTGAAAACTTTTTTAGAATGGGAGTGATCTGAAAAGTAAATAAACGGAAACAGAGCTATGAAACGGCTGCTATACTAAATAATGAGAGAAAAAGAGACAAACATATAGAATTTAGCCTGCGAGAGAATGAGACGGAATATAGCTATACAGTTTTTCCTATTCTCGGTCTCCTCTTTATGCTATGCTTCGTAGTTATCGCTCATGGTTTTATATGTGTGTGTTTGTGCGCGACGGCATACTACAAAACGTGGACACGTATTCTTTCGATACTCGAAATGTTTGTAGGTACGAGCGATAGAAAGGTAAAAGATAAACAGAGATAAGCACGTAGGTATGCGACAAAAGTATAAATTCCAAACGAACCGACGGTCGAAATAAAGAAAGAAGGTGCGTGGTCTGTTTTTATTTTACCAAATGTGTCATTTCTTTTCTATTTAAAAATGTTTCTATTTTATTGAAAAATAAATATTAAATGATTTATTTCGCAAATATTATAATAAATAATTATGAAGTACATAGAATATATAATAATTGTATTGTCTGAAATATTAAAAAAAAAAAAGGATTACTAGATACATCAGAGAAAAAGAATTAGAGAATACTGTAGAATAAATGAGGAGCAGCTGACAAATTCCATTCAAAAGCAAGTAAATTACTGTTATATTTTTATTTTGCCTCTTTATAAAATATATTTGATGCATAAAGACAAAATATGTCTATTAAATTTGATTTTTATATGTTTTTATGAAAAATATCCAAAGAGATGTACTGACCCATGCATATATGAAAATTATATTACAAATTGTAATATGTGCGTATTTAAGAAACTTATACTAATTTTTCAATAAAATAAAAACATTTTTAAGATGTTGAATGCCCAGCGTGAATCGGTGAAGCTTACCACGGAGCTGAAATTTGAGACTCGTAGTGTACACAGTTCGATAAGCTGAGAGAGCGATACGATTCAATGCATTTTTTAGATTTCTCGTTGTTCAGATCTTTATTTAGACGAGAGTATTTAAAAAGATGAGTTTGTGGTCCAAAGAATAAGGACGAGATATGTTATAAATAATAAGGGTCTCGAATTGTGGTAGGCTACAGAGTTGAAAAAACATTTCTAGAGAATATCTTTATTAGATCTTTCATTGCATTTTACCAGAACCTTCGTTCAGTCCAGCAGTATTTTCCATATGTTTTTCGTAACGTCTTTATTTCATCTATCCTAAAATGTTTGTTATATAGCGCAAGAATGTAGATGAAAGCGGGAAATAGAAAACCATACTAAYAAAAAAAAHTTTATAYCTGAGTTTCAAAAAAAGGATTATTTATTTTTACCTAATTTCTGACGAATTATATTTCCTTTGATAAACATCCTACCATTTTGGTGACTATTTATAACTATCGCATTCAGCATTTCGTTTTTATTGCTTGAATTGTGAAAAGTGCACTTTTTATCAGCTATTACACCCAGAGACCATACCGGTGACTTTTATTATATATAGTAATAATATTATAATAAATAAATCCTACAATTATCTTACTCTTAAAACTGTCCATTCGTCTCATTCTCTCGAAATTTAGATTTTTGAAGGTTTCACTTCTAACACGTGTGATCTGCACACATGATTTTTAGATGCTTGAACAAAATTATTTTTAAAGGAATTCAAATCAAGATTTTTATGAAAACAATTACAATAAAATGTTTTATTTCAAATAACAAACTATTTTATAATTTTACAAATTGTCGGATTAAAGATTTTTTTTTAAGGGGTAACACCACTCTAGAGTCTTAAAAAGAAGCCTTTTTTTGGGAATTTTTTTTGTGATCACTAAATGAGGAATAGAATTTCTTTTTTGAGGGTTGGTTAATCATATATTGAACTATGTAAACAAATATTTATATTGATTTTAGATACAAAATTGCGTCGGTATTCGTGGCTGAACAAAACTCCGTTTTTTTTTGACTGAAACTAGCTTACTCATACCTGAACAAGTATGAGACCTGGAACAAAAAACGAAAGAAATTCTTTCGTTCGCCATGTTAAAATTTTTTTTTTTTACTTCGGGACCAAGTGCATATTGTTTTTAGATGTCTAAAGTACATTTTAAGCTAAAAAAATCGATTTTTTTTTAATTCTAGAGTGGTGTTACCCCTTAAAAAAGCAACAAAGTTACAATACATCTCATAAATATACGAACTAATTTTGACAAAAAATAAAGTTCTCCATCATATACGCTGGTTTTGAGAAATCATAATTATAATATGATTACTTTGTCAATACTTTTTATACAGTTTAGAATAAGAAGCCCCTAACTTTAAATATATTCAAAATGATGAAACGTTTTTGCACAAACTTTTTATGAAACATTTTTCGTGTACCATTATAAACAAGGAGTTCTAAAAGTAATTCAATTAAGATTTTGCAAACGTAAATAAAAATATTAATTCAGGTGCAGGAACTATTGCTTATATACATCTTATATTAATTTATTCACTTTCTGAAGCACTTTGAGCACTACCGCTACCAGAAGCGCTGCCACTTCCACTCGGAGATCTTGATTTTGAATGAGATCGCGACCTCGATCGTGACCTCGATCTGGACTTTGAGGTTGACCGTGATTTTGATGGGGATTTCGACGGGGATTTCGATGGCGATTTAGCAGGAGAACCAGATCGAGATCTTGATGCTGATTTTGATTTTGATCGAGATCTCGACCGAGAAGAATTTCTCGATTGTGGGGATTCAGATCTTGATTTAGATCTGCTACGCGATTTAGACGGAGATCGTGACTCTGATCGCGACTTGGAATGAGATGACGATTTGGATGGTGAACGTGAACGGGAACGGGAACGGGAACGGGAACGGGAACGAGAACGTGAACGAGAACGAGAATGAGAACGAGTAGGAGAAGGAGAAGGAGAAGGAGAACGAGATTGGGACCGAGATCGGGACCGGGAACGAGACAGAGAGCGAGAACGAGATCGAGAACGGGAACGGGAACGGGAACGGGAACGGGACTTGGATTTTGAAGGAGATTTAGAACGAGATTTAGAACGAGATTTAGAGCGCGATGGAGAACGAGATCTTTTACTGGAAGCACGAGAGGATTGCTTGGATGATGCACGCGAATTACTTTCATTTTCAGAGTCAGCTAAAAGAAAAAAACAATAATAAAAATCGAATAAAGATTGCCGATATGTGTATATTGACATTCTAATGCGAAGTTGTTACCTTTCTCTTCTGCTTTTTCAGTCTCTTGCTGCATTTCTTCTTCCTCCTCTTCTTCTTCCTCTTCCTCGTCTTCATCTTCCTCTCCTGGGGGTTCCAATTGTTTTTCTCTATATCTTTGCATTTTGAATTCATTAGCATTTAATGGTCGATGGCGCACAATTAATCGCGTATTATTTGGCTGTTGACCTGCTTTTTGCCTGCGTTTACTGAGTCGTACACGAGTTTCCAATTCATTGTAGTAGACCTGAAATGATAATCAAATCAATGAAATAAATAATAATTATCAATAATTAAATAGAACTATTTAATCGTAAGAACGTACTCCATCTTGTCGCATAACAAGGAAATAATTTTCTTCGTATCCTTTAGATGCTTTGCTTTTAACATTCCAATTATATTCTCTAGCCATCTTATATTCGTATTCTTCTTCATCCGCGTAATCAATATTAGCAGCAAAATCTCTTCTTCGTTTTTCTAATGTTTCTTCTAAAGGTAAGAAGTACGCTACGAATTGTTCGCCGCTTTCGTCCATGACGCCCCTGTTACACCATGAAATGATACGTTATGAAGTTCATTAAAGGTAAATAAAATATTAATTACGCAAGAATAGAAAGGATTATACCGAATCATTGCTTGGGACATCTCTTCTATTTGAGCAGGAACGGAACGTCCAGTTGGCGCAGGGTCGGAATCAAATATTACTTGAGCGCAAGGATATTTCCATAACTAAAAAAATACAAATATCACGATTATATATTATTCCAGGAAAAATTTAGGAATAATTTTTCTTTTATATTCTAGTAGAAATAGTAGTAGTAGTAGTGTAGTAGTAGATACCTTGAAATCTGGATATACAGGTAAAATCTCAATGGGTACAACGTTTGGTTTGCTATAATGTTTATCGATTGTTTTCTTATTATCCTCAAATGTTTTTTCAATAGCTTTTATTTGACTTTCTCTGTCCATATATAATGTCTCCTCCTTGAAATTCTTCTTAATACTATAACCAACTTTAGCTTCAACTTTGTCAACCGTTTGCGGTTGAAATCTAGTTTGTTCGGTAGAAATATATTCGGTTCGTCTAAGCCAAGAAACGCTTCTGGCGTGATGTCTAGATCTTTTAGAATCTTGCGGCGTAAGAACATCTTCTTCAAGAAGTTTCTCATCTGCAGGATCTAATTGTCCATTAACGTCTCCAGCATAGGTATCTTTGTTAATAAGATCTATTTCAACGCCTAAATCGTGTTCCGTCAGAACTTCATATTTGTAGTTACGTTCTAATGATGTTGGATTATATTGAATAAACCTATTGATCAAAGGAGTACATTTGTTATTGTTACGCAGGCTCATTTAATAAATGCACAAAACTTCAACAATCGATACATACCGAGTTGATTCGAATGGATATGTGATAAATTTAGGGTCAAATGGAATATCGGGCAGTGAATTACAAAATTTGACTCTGCATATTAATTCAGACCTATAATGAAAAGTAATGCAATTGATAACAGGGGTTGCGATTTGTAATATATAAAATACAAATATTTGAGGTTAGATCTTATACCTTTTTTCTACTGGTCTTGTTGTACGTTTGTCTCTTTCAGATGTACTTCCATTAGTCTGAATTGTCGGTGCCATGTTCGAACAAGTGTAAAAATTAAACAAAGTTTCAAGAAATTCCTAGTTGTTCATCAAATGTTGAATGAGAAAGAAAGATATAAACACGTGCATTTCTCTTGAAATGTTTGATAACGAACAAAACATAAGTGTTCTTATAAATAGTGGTGTAAACTACACTATTACACACTGGAATGCAAAACTATAAAGTATAAAAAGCCTCTAGTATCTGTTGTATAATAAATTACACAACTTTTTAATCAAATTCTTTGCGTTAACTTACAATTAATGTAAAATTTTATATTGTTTCGACATAAGAACAAACGGAATTTTTTTGGATTTTGCATCCATTGCAATCGAAGCGCCATCTGTAAGTGTATACAGTTATTACAGTTTTGGATATTTCTAACGAAGGTAAGGTAGTTAATATATTATATCTTTATATATAAAAATTCAGTGTCACATTGTTGGTTTCCAAAGAACTTCGAAACTACTGAACCGATCTTAATAAAATATTTTATTTTGTGTGATAGTGCTGTATTACAATTCAATTATTTCGATATATCACGTCATACGTTTATTTCCAATTTATATATGATAAAACTAATTTTGTTTTTTTTTTATATTTTTATTACTATATGAGATTGATAAATGTAATTAATAAACTAAATAAGTCGGAAAGCGGCAACTTCGTTTTGAACAGCGGGAGAAAAGTTGACGCTTTTCGCCCGGAGGGAAGAAAAAGACATTACTCCTCCGTCACGTGTGAAGTATATTTTGTCCATTTTCGCTTGTAGGGTAATACTTACATAATAAATTTATTGGAAGTGAAGAATAAAAACAAATATAATTAATATTTTATTTCTTTAATGTGAACAAATGTTTATTAATGGAAGCTTAAACTTTAACAATCATAAATTACCATGACAATTATATTACTTTTAATATTTTTACTTATTTCTTTATTTAGTATAATGTTTATGCTATTTAAAAAATTAAAAATACTTACAATGAATACTGCATTAATTTATATACATACGATCAAATATGCTCTGTCACATCATTAAAAATCAGTCAAAGTTATATTTGATATAAATCGATTTTTGCGGAATATTTAAAATCTAGTGATAATGCTTACATTTTCTATCAAACTATCTTCAATAAATCCTTGATTGTCAACGCCATTCTTTCTAATATCGTCTAATCGTTTAAATAGTTTTTGTTCCTTAGATTTTGTATTATTTACAGTATTTACACATTCTGAAGTTTCTAGATACATCGTTTTAATATTTTCAACGCTTGGGGTAATCGGTAAAATTGGTATCTCTGTATCCAATTTTGGCCAATTGGGATTATTATTCAATTCATACTGTACTTTTAAATATTCTTTCCTTGATTTTTCCGGTCGATACATTTTTGGAAGTAGTTTCTTTTCTATTCCATATTCAATTATTAAAGTTTCAATAACTAAACATATAAAGAAATTTGCAAAAGCAAGTATTAAAATAATAATTCTCCAATTATAATCTGGGGGTAGGAGTAGTTGTAATAAGTTAATTACCCATTTTGCAGGATAAACTGTAATATATGCGCAAATGAAAATTAAAAGAACGATAGTAAATGTAAATATACCATTTGTATAAATAGGTTTTCTATATGGTTTACCACGTGAGAATATTATTGCCATTGTAATATATTGAAACATAGATAAACAGAATACTGAATAATTTTCATAGCACATATATCCAGTTTTACTAGTATGAACAAAAGGTGTAAACCAAGGAAAATATCGTACAGTATGATATGCAATAGCTTGAAAAATTGTCATTATTAACATATGCACCGTTAAAGACAATAGTGGTGTGAAACTCAAAAGACTCGTCATTGGCGGATTCTTCGCCAGTTTCTTCTCATAAGCTTGCGTTTTTCCAAAAAAGAAAGCAAAATTGACAATCAAACAAATATCGATAAACAAAAATTCCAGATCTGTTAAATTAGAATCTATCGAATATAAAATAATAACGGATAAGAATTCTGTCAAGGAGTATGTTACCATAAATTTAAATATTCCAAATGATGTGACTAAAGCAGCTCTTCCTTGTCGTATAACTTTAGGAATGCAAGTTATGTCAGGTATTCTTGAAGTAAAGGGACTGGCCACGCTAAAAAAGACCACAAAGATGAAAAAAAGAAAAGAGGATAGAAAAAATAAGCACACAATCTGTTTTAATTGAATTCAATTCTTACCTCGATTCTGCTTCCGAAAGAGATACACCTGCGTGAGCTGCTCTTAATGCTCCACAATCGTTTGCTCCGTCTCCGCACATAACTGTGAAGTACAAACGTAGGAAGAAATCAACAATAATTTTAATAATTGCGATTATGCGCATAGTTAATACGTACCCACGTAATAGCCAAGTTGCATTAATTCTAAAACTAATTGTTGTTTTTGATCACTCGTCATTCTTGCGAATATTGCACCTTTCACGCAAATTTTCGGCACGATATCGGAATAATATTCTTTTAGTAGTTGCCATGTTTGGCCGGTCAAAGCAAATCTATAATTTTGTATATTCATTCCTTGTTCCGTATCGTCTAACAACGGGATTCTAAGTTTTTTGCTTTGAAGACTCTGAAAGAAATAACTAGTGAATAAAATCATTCAAAATAAAACGGTTTCAAAATATTTATCTATTTTATATTTACCAATTTTTGGGTAATACTTTGTGCATTGAAAAATAGTTCTGGTTTGGATTTGGTAAATTGGTTTGGAACTACAATAACGTCTATAACCGTTTCATGAGGCAATAGTATACCGCACTCTTTTGCAACGCTTACCGCAGTCTGTATATTATCACCTATATCAAATGATAAAAAACACACGGATTATATTCATTTATAAACAAAATTTTATACACAAGTAAAGAAATGAAACTACGAATTAGCAACCTGTGATCATAACAACGTGCATATTAGCTTCTCTAAGTTCCTTTATAACTGATACTGTTGGTTCTTTTAATCTATTTTCTAAAATAACTAAACCCAGAAATTCCAAATTTTGTTCGACCTCGTCTCGCGTCATTTTTGATATCTGTAGAAAAAGTTATTTTACATTAGTTTCGTAAAATGAAAATATACATATATTATACATATATATGTTACCTTTGCACCATTCTCGATTATTGTAGACCGGCCCATAGCTATAACGCGATAGCCTTGCTCTGTATAAGTTTTCAGAATTGTCATTATGTTTTTTGGTAATGTTTCTGGTTTACTTAAACTAAATATCATTTCAGGGGATCCTTTGGTATATGCTTTGAAATGTTCAGATCCTAAAATACGTACTATCACTGACATTCGTTGCAACGAACTTGAGAATTGATATTGTTGCAGAATACCAATTTCCATAATGTTATTCATATTTTCAGTAAAATGATGATTTTTTGGTGGTTTCACTACCGTTGGTGCTACAAGATCATACTTATCCGATTGCGTCATGTCAGATTCTTCCAGTATCCATCCGGTACTTTCAAACATCTATAATCAATTTGATAATAATAATAATAGGAGAATGAGAGGATATTTATAAAAAATGAACTTTTACAAAGAAGGTTAAGGATTACCTTAACGTCCAATGGATCCCCACAAAGTTCGTTATTAATAATATTTAAACTGTGGCATACCAACATACCCTCAAAAAGAGGATGATGTTGCAGTTTGGCCACATTCTTCTCCGATTCTTCAAAGCTACCGTTTGTACATGGTACAACACCCCACATATCTAAGCCATCCTCTGTCAGCGTTCCAGTCTGTACAAGTAGATGAAAGTAAAGAAGAAATGTGATATTTCATAGTCTCCAAATCTGCAGATTAATGATCTTTTAACGAAATATTAATTACTCTTTTCATAACATTCTTACCTTATCGAAACATACGCAATTAATGCTGCCAGAAACATTAATAACCCTGCTGTTAATACAATAGATTTGTGCACGTTTTAATCTTGCTTGAGCATACAATTTTCCTACTGTCATTGCAGCCGGTAAAGCCGGAGGAACAACTATCGTAATTATATCTAAAGCCTTAATTGCAATGTCACCAGCTGTAATTCCTCTCGAGGCCTAGAATTAGAATTATTAAGAAATAACTTTATATAATCCTTATAAGGACCTAACAGGCTCATAATCGCTAAATTGTTCATTTACCTTGGTAACAACCGTATATATAAAACCACAAATGGCAACACACGCTAGTATTCCAATGAATTTGTACGAATCTTGATCAAATTTGAAGTCCGCTGGTGGTGGATACAATATAGCCGCGACCAATGCACCTCTGTTTGTTTGTAGACCTGTCCTGATGACTCTAGCAAGAACTGGATTATTCCCATAGCATCTGCGATATAAAAAACAAAAACAATTCATCAAGATATATTCATTATAATCTACAATCTTGTACATTTTCATTTACCCATGTTGTACGCACCTTGTTTGAATAATAGTAGTTCCACTGTACAATGTATGATGAGAGCATTGTTTTGAATCGTATGGCACTTGATTCGATGGCAATGGTGTTTTTGTAACAGGTACAGACTCGCCTGATCGGATAAGAAATATATTTTTTTAATCGATAATAACCATCTCAAATTAATTTCTAATGAAATATAATATATTTACCAGTTAGCATAGATTCATTTATTATACATTGTCCAGTTAGTAGTACCGCATCGCACACAACCGTTCCATGGTGGTTTGGTAACTCTATAATATCACCTGGTACTAATTCGTTACTCGAAACGCTTTCAAATACTCCAGAACTTCGATATATTTTAACATTTTCGAAAGAGGCCACGGTTCCTTTAAGATTCAGTTGATTCTAATGTATATAGAAATGGTATGAAATGATTAAAAAGTATAATCGGAGATAATCGATAATTGTGATTTACTTACTTTACGTGTTTGTAATATAGAACTTGTAATTCCAAAAACGGACATGCAAATTATAGCCATGGTGTAATAAAGGTATTCTTCGGCAAACCATACTGCCAGAGTAAATACTTGAAAGATATAAAAAGGATTTAAAACTTCCAGTAACAATAATATACCAATACTTTGAACTGGTACAACAATTTCATTGTTTCCATAAATGATTCGCCTGTACAAAAAAGTTGAAATCAAGAAATGGCAATTTTTTAAAAGTAAAATTATATAATAAGCAATTAATAAGGTTATAATATATATTTAATTATACAGGGTGATTCACTAACTCTTGCCACCTAAATAGCTCAAAAATATGGTAATAGTAGAAAAATTGGTGTAACAAAAGTTGCATGAAAAAATAGAGACTATTATATGATGT